ACGACATACCAATTGGGGACAAACAGTTCAGAGTGATCGTGCCCTGGCTGAAAGCTACAATGACACATTCTGTGAAACAACACCCGCCACGGATACCCCTACATATTTAGATGGGCATCCCGAACAAACTAAATGAACAATGCGTTCCGCCTCAGGGGGCGCAGGCGATCGTGCTGAACAAGCGCACCAGTCATGGCTTTCACAAGTCTCATTCGATCTATTAGTTGCCAGGGATGCAGACCGACGTGTGCGCCAATTCGGCGAAGAACAACTTATTTCAAAAACGATTCGGAATTGTGTCAAACGTGATAGGTGCATCTGAGTTGATGATTGATTGCGCGGCGGACCTTGGCGAGCACTTCGACAACTTCGGAAAAGGAGCTGCGAACAAGCCAATACAAATCAACCATTCGAGTGAGGAACTCGCAGAAAGCAGCGAGCGTGGCAATGTATTGGAAGTTTATTTTTTAACCATGCGCAATGGCACATCACGAATCCCGACAAGAAGCCTTCAACTTGAACGAACATGGAAGAGACGCTTCAAATCAATGCGGGCGTCTGCACAGTGGAATACACCGTTCTCAAACAACTGACAGTTGGGAAAGCTGCCAGAATGGATGACATCCTACCAGTTCGGGAAGGACCTGCTGCACAATTGGGAAGCATGAGTGCTTCTGTTATGTCAAAGGTGCTAGGATCAAAACGACATACCAAAGCAGTGGACAACATCACGTGTAACACTGTTGTACAAAAAGGATGACGCGAGTCTGCCTGCCAACGACAAGCCAATAGCGCTCCTACCCATTGGTTTGTAAAGTGGTTGCTTTAACCATTTAGGCGTCTACACATTGGGGGTGCAGAAACACGAGCGCGAAAGACACAATTTTCTTTTCGGCCTGGCAGGCGTGTAACGCAAGCTCGAATGGTCGACATGGCTTGCGCGTCTGCCTCTTCTAGTTTCCTGGCAATTGTTCTGGATTGAGTCAAGGCTTTTGACACATCAAAAAAACGATGAATTGTTCAACGCGTTACGTTGGTTCGGAATTGCAAGAACAATGATACGCTCCTATATATATATATACACACCGCATAGACCACCCTTCGGGTGATAAGGAGGTGAGGGGGGGGGAGGGACCAACGTCGCACTCGATTGATCTCACTATCGAACTCACTACCGATCTCACAATCGATCTCAATCGATAGATCTCACAATCGATCTGACTATCGATCTCACAATCAATCTCACAATCGATCCCACAATCGATCTCACATTCGGTCTCGCTATTGATCTCACAATCGATATCACAATCGATCTCGCATTCGATCTGACTATCGATCTCACTATCAAACTCACTATCGATCTCATTATCGATCTCACATTCGGTCTCACTATCGATCTCACTATCGATCTCACAATCGATCTCACAATCGATCTCGCATTCGGCCTCACTATCGATCTCTCTATCGAACTCACTTTCGATCTCATTATCGATCTCACTATCGATCTCACTATCGATATCACAACCGAACTCACAATCGATCTCACATTCGGTCTCATCATCGATCTCACTATCGAAATCACTACCGATCTCATTACCGATAGTCATCTCACTGCTAACTCAATCGATCGATCTCACAATCGATCTGACTATCGATCTCACAATAGAATCCACAATCGATCTCACATTCGGTCTCACTATTGATCTCACTATCGATATCACAATCGATCTCACAATCGATATCCCATTCGGTCTCACAATCGATCTCACTATCGATCTCATTATCGATCTCACATTCGGTATCACAATCGATCTCACAATCGATCTCACAAGCGATCTGACATTCGATCTCACGTTCGATCTCACAATCGATATCACTACCGATCTCACTATCGATCATCAAAACAAAACATCAACATCGTCCAGCGGGACACAGGCGGGACACCGCGGGGCCCCGGCCGCCCGAAGGGAGACATTTGGTCCGGCCGCGCCTCAGCCACACGGGACACCAGCGGGACACCGGCGGGACACCGCGGGGCCCCGGCCGCCCGGAAGGGATACATTTGGTCCGGCCGCGCCTCAGCCACACGGGACACCAGCGGGACACCGGCGGGACACCGCGGGCCCCCGGCCGCCCGGAAGGGAGACATTTGGTCCGGCCGCGCCTCAGCCACAGGAGACTTTCTCTCGCCCGCCCACGCAGCTTCACCTCGCCTCGCCCGCACGCACGGCACGCACGAACACGAAACCGAAATCGATTTCCCGGTAGGGGGGCTCTCCGTTCCACTTCGATCTCACCCCCTCACCTCCGATATATGTATAGATATGTTGAGAGCGCTTCTCTCATCTTAAGTATGAGCTAGGCAATTCAACCATACCGCAAAAAGCGGGGATTGCTCAAGGCAACCTTATTGCTTTAGAACTGTTCGATATGTGATGTTCTTCGACGTGGACGAACACATGGACAATAATACCGATACTTGGACCACGCAACAACATCCAAACTCGCATCGCAGTCACACCACAAGACGAGGGAAGGCCACGGGTACCTTAGAGGCTGAATGCGATGATGTTGAGTGGTCAAGTATCATCCCCTCCAACAGAAAATACATTATCTCGGAACATGCCTTCCATATTGCGGTCTGGTATTGGCTCTCCTTCCGTGTAGACCGTAACAAACAATCAACCATCAATCATGCCGTCCGGAACGGAAACATGTTTGAACACCTTGCAATGCTTCCCGTGAACATCGTGAAACTAACAAAACTCATGCAGACGGCAGACTCCTCTATTACCACGACGGGCTTCCCACGCCCTGACACGAACAACCGGGGAGATTGCCTGCATGAGAATGCCGAAGCAGAGAAATACATTGCATTTGCACGGGTACCTTTGACCACGGCAGAACACGTTATACTGTCTCGGGTGTGATGTCTTTTGGTAATGGAAATCACAAGCTGTGAACCGACTACTGGCCTGGCTCGATGCCGGGATCGGCACTCACATCCACGTATCCACGTGATCAACGCGGAGGAGCTTTAGGCCTATATATGCACCAGTGATGGGGCTTTTTAGGGATAGCCTGGACAGTGGCGCTCGCCGTGGCTGGCAAACGCGCACAACGATCTCCCTGAGCTCCACGCCGCCTGCGCCTCGTCTTTGTCCCCCCTCTCCCCGTCTTCTTTCCGCTCTGCCCTATCTTTCCTCCTCTTATACTGCTTGTCTGCGCAGCAGCATCACGTTCCGATTGTATCCTCTGTTTCATCCTGTCTTGCCCCGGCTTCGTCGATCTTGCCGTGGAACTTCCGGATTAAACGCGGCGGATTCCCGCAGCAGGCTCTTGGGAGGCCTCTTGAACGTCCTTTCTTACGTGGCCCAGTTGCCCTTCAGATGCAGCCGATATGCGGCGCAACTCCTAGGGGAGTCAAACGTTTGGGAACCTCGAACGGCCTTTTGGAGACGAGGAAACGTGAAGAGGAATTCGGCGTTCGATCATCGACACCTTGTTGAACGCAACCCTCCGGCCGTCGCGGCGAAGACCGCCGGAGAACGCCGAAGACGGCCCAAGGCCGATGGGTAACAAGGGGTCCATCTTCGAATACTCGGCGGTGAGCCCGGGGGGGAAGTGAGAATAGGCGGGCCTTCTCAGAAGGCTCGAAAGTCCCACGGCCTTCTGAGAAGTTTCGTGAGCGTTCCCCGAAGCACCAAACACTTCCCAGAAGGCGCGAGGGCTTCTGAGAAGTCCCGCCGCCTTCTGAGAAGGTCTTCTCCTTCTCAGTTGCCCCCCTCGCTCGCCGCCGAAATATGTTGGAGGAGGAGGAGGACGATGAAGGGGCGGCCGAGCAGGAGGAGGCGGACAGTGTCTGCCAGGAGCGCGCGCGCCCTCCCGCTTGACCTGCCGACTCTCTTCTCTCTTGTGGAGCCGGGGGCCTCCAGAGGGGCACTCTGGTGGCAAAAGTACCGAGGCGCGCTTGCACGAAGAGCGCCCAGACATCTCGGTCCTCGACCTCCTTTCCTGCTTTTCCCAATCTGAAGCAAAGTGCACTTATCGCCGATGCTCGCCGCCGTCGCGTCGGGTATCCGCCATGCCTCCCAAACTTTTCCGACGTCGTAGTGCTTTCTTTCGATGCGGGGCCCCTGGAGCTTTCGACCCATCCTGGGCTCTTCTCCCTAGGACGACGGCAGCAGAAATAACCAAACATACACAACTCGAGGCCTCTGAGAACCGGCGGGACAAGAGGATATACCGTGCCCTCCGCTCCAGAGCAATCGGCAACGAGCCCGCACACCCTACGGTCTGATCTTGCGTCGGTGCGCGGAGGTGCTCTCTGTCGCCTTCCCTGCGCGTCCTCCCGGCGCGACTCTTGATGGTCCGGGGGCCCCGACCCCCGACCGAGGGACAAGCTGCCCGTGGAGCAGGCCACGTCGCCGCCCCAGGCCTGCCTGCCTGATGATGAGGAGGAGGAGGAGGAGGTGGAGGAGGAGAGATGTGGAGGAGAGATGTGGAGGAGAGAGGAGAAGGAGGAGGAGGAGGAGGAGGAGGAGGAGGAGGAGGAGGCGGAGGCGGAGGAGGAGAAGGAGAGAGGTGGAAGAGGAGGACATCCCGCGCCGTGACGATCCCGGGGCCCGGGTTGTGGTCTGCACCCAGGCGCATGGGCATGGCAGCGAGCCTCCGAGTCGTCAGGGGTGCGGGTCCTCCCGCACCGGGCCCAGGGCTTTGAGGCGAACCCAGCCGCGGCGGCAGGGGAGCACCAGGTGGCCTCCAACGATACAGTCGGGGCCTTGACCTAAGAAACCCTAAATCAGGAACGAGGCCCCTTTTTTTTCCAGAAGGTAAACTTCGATTTCCGATCGAAAACATGGGGAAAACCTGAGGCAAGCTGCGGAACACTTAGGGAACGCGGAGCCCCTCCCCAACCAAAAGGGTTCCTTCTTCAGGGCCCCGACTGTACACAAGACGCGCACAGACCTCGGTCTCTGGCTCTCCTCCTCCCCCTGCCTCTGGTGGACTCGAGCCAGTCGAGCATTTGCTCCCAATGTGCGGTGGGCTGGTCGGCCGGCGCCCGCCCAGCATGCAGAGCGCTGCCGCGCCAGGTGGACTGCACGGGGCGAGGGGCGAACGGGGAGGGAGGTGGACGAGGGGGAGGCTCGAGGAGGAGAAACGCGAGGTGCCTTTGGATTTCTGTCGCCCCTCCATGGGCCTCACCAGGCCCCTGCACCTCCAGATGCCTCCAGGGGCCTCTGGAGACATCGGGTGACTCCTGGAGGCTTCCAGAAACGCCGAGGATCGAAATTCCTGGATGTTTTTGCCCTCAGTCGCCACGGCTGGATTCGCCTCGAAGTCCAGGTCAGAACGACCATTTGAGGGGGGATGGAAGGAACGGCCACTATGACGGTGCCCTATCGCAGATATTGGAACAGCCGACGGGATCGAACTCAGACTTTCCTTTGCTCGACGCCTCGTTTTGTAAAACCTGTTGGGTCAGGTCTGGGCTTGTACTGATCAATGGTAATTTTCAAATAGGCGTCGGTGTTGCGCTGGCGAGGCCCACACCGGAGGAAGCGGCCGCCACCTTGTCGACGGACGACTTTTTTCAATGATCTTTCTGGGGTGCTCGAGGGGATCCTATTCTAGGGCTTGCGTCGGATTCGCGTCGCGATGACGTTTGCGTTGGTTTTCTGACACCGCGTGAATGAATCGCTAAACCTTGTACGATCGCGGTTTTCGGATAGCGCAGATCGCTCGATATCAGCCGATTCTGGGCCACTGGCGGCGTTCAACCTTGAACACCCGCGCTGGGATCGCTGCACGAGGACGAGTATGGTGGCACAAATACCGATTGTACGCGACCCGTCCAGGAAAGGGGCTTGTGGATTCATTATGTTCCCTTTTGTCCTGCTCTTCCGCCTCCTCCTCCCCTTCTCCACTCTGACCTTGATCTATCAAACCGTTTCACTTTTCTATTGCTTCTGTCCGCCAGCTCTTTTCGCTGCCCACCTTCGCTGCAAGCCATCCCCCTCCTGTTGCACCCACCCTGAAAGGGGACCAATCATTAAAAAACGCCTGGGGGCGGAAACAATGGACATTCTCCTTGACGGACCGAGATACAGCCGCTGGCTGCCGGCGGCTGTCTTCGGCAAACGGTAGAGTTGAATTACACAGAACGCTGAGACACCATTGATATCACAAAGGATTGTCGTTGGGATGTTTGCGCGTCGGCAGACTCCTCCAGGGAGATATTTCGATAGAACATCCGCCGACCCCCTCTTCCCGAGGGTGAGAAGGCGTGTGAACCATTTGGCCTTCCCCTTCCCCTGGGGTCCAAATTCTGTTAGAGGGGCGCCCGGGGAGCCTGGGGTGGGGGCACGAGCTCGTGAACGCACCTCCGCGGCCCTGGGAGCCTCTGAATCCACCCTCCCTGGCCGCCAAGATTGCCCAGATGCCTTCTAACATGGCTCAAGGAGGGCCAACACGCCAAAGAGAGGTCTCGAGGGCACGCAAGATGTCGTCAAGACGGCCCAATACGTCCGAAAGAGGGCCCCCAGAAGACCCCCGAACAAGGCTCCGCGATGCACACATCAGTGACTTTCCATACGATTTCGATTTAGTTTAGCGTTACATTTTTTCGGGCTTCTGACAATCCAGAACGACCCGAGATGCCCCCCAGACTGGGCCAAAGATGGCGGTCACAAACCGAACAGGCCGACCCAAAGAGGGGGAATTCGGACAGACCCTCGGGAGCCTTCCCTCACAAGATGGTCCCCAAGACCCCCAAGATGCTTCCAAGAGGCCACCGGGAAACCAGGAGCCCTGAAACGGCTCCGAAAGGCCGCCCCACAAGGCCTCGAATAGGCCCCCGAGAAGCCCCGCAACAGGCACGGAGGAAGAGCAAGGAGGCCGACGCAGCGGCAGCTGCTCCCAAGCAGCACGGCGGGAAGCGGCGAGGAGCGCTCACGAAACCGGAGCGGCACATCTCCTCTTCTGGGGGTCGGCGGAACGGCCTGAGCTTCTTGAGTAACGAAGACTTGCCGCCTGGGCCCTGGGCCCCGATGCTCCGGCCCCGGAGAAAAGCAAGGGGACATCCCGCCCATCGTTCCCGGTTGCTGGCCCCCTCGCCTCCCTCCTGCTGCCTCCGACACCGCCTCCGCACTGTGGGTACTGCTCCTTCTCCTCCTCCCCCCACTCTGGAGGGAAGTGATGACAGGGATAACAATCTATAGGACAGAGGAATACTGGGGAGGAGAGAAGAAGGAAGAGGAGGAAGAGGGGAGGGAGGAAGAGGAGGAAGAGGAGGAAGAGGAGAGGAGTAAGAGGATTAATGCATGGAGTAGGGTATGGGTCCTCTTTGCAGAATCGATCTCCTGGACCTCTCCTGGGGTGCGCTCTGTCCAGCAATTCAAGACGAATCCGACAGTGACGACGAGGGACCCCTCGAAGTGGAACCCGAAGGACCAGGACGGCCTAAAAGCCTCCATCATCAATATCAATTCCTCGGCCTCCTCCTCCCCATCCTCCTTTTCTCATTCCCCTCCTCTTCCTCCTCCTACACCTCCTCCTCCTCCTCCTCCTCCTCCTCCTCCTCTTCGGGCTCGGGCCTCACGCGGTGCTCACCCTAGCAAATCGTTCATCCCTGATCGACTCTTGACCGTGGAATTGTGCAACATCTCGGAACTTGGAGGCGGCTGGGGGTGCGCGTCGGATAGGTGCCATCAGAACTGGTGAGGAAAGAGAGCGTGCCAAATCCAATACACACCGCCCGCCTTCGGTGGAGCTCCCTACGGGGCCACGAAGCGCTGTGTTCGGTGGTGGATGACGCATGCTGGCGCAGCCACTGAGGCCTTCGGTGGAGCTCCCTATGGGGCCACGAAGCGCTGTGATGGATGGTGGATGGCGCATGCGGGCAGTCCCACTGGAGCGGCCCCAGGGGGCTCTGGGAGTGAATCGATCTGCGCATCGCCCTCTGTCAGTGACGGGGCACCCCAGCTCGGAGGCGGCCGTGGTGTCTGAGCTGAGCGGGCCCCGGGCAAAGCCGGTGCCCGTACACCCTCCCAAAACCATCTTGTGCACTTTCTCGCCCAAGATCCATCTTTTACCGTCCTGGGGCTGAACACGGCCCTCGAACCTCGCCCCCCTTCCTGCTGGCCGGAACCGATGCTGGGCCACCTCAGGCCCCCAACCGGCTCCAAACCTTGGCGCCCCAGCCGGCTACGATTCGAAGCCTCGACCCTCCTCTCGCCCCCTGCCTACTCAATAATAATGTGGACGCCTGAGATAGGTGCGGAAAAAAGGGTGCGATGCCCGACAGCAAACGTTGTTGCTCGTAATGAACAGGAGCTGCGGTCGATCTTTTTGTCCCACTCTTTCCGTACCCATCTCGATCGTATCAACCCTACACCCCCAAGCCACGAGGGGAGCGGGGAGGAGAGCCGGGGGCCGGCATGGGCGGGACGTTGGGGGCGCGAAGGCTGGCGGCAGCGCGCCGCGGACAAGAAAGGGACCTCCGAGCGTCGCAGCCGCGCACGCCCCGCAGATCCTCGAGGAACAACAGGAAAGGGAGGAACAGGAGGAGGAGGAGGAGGTCGAATGCTCCTCCTCCTCCTCCTCCGCCTCCTCATCGCTAAATAACCTTACCCGATGCCCCTCGCAGCCGTCTGCCATAGTGAACTCACGGGGCCTCGTCGAGGGGGAGGAGGAGGAGGAGGAGGAGGAGGAGGAGGAGGAGGAGGAGGAGGAGGAGGAGGAGGAGGAGGAGGAGGTGGAGGAGGAGGAGGAGGAGGAGGAGGAGGAGGAGGAGGAGGAGGAGGAGGGGGGGGAGGAGGGAGGAGGAGGAGGAGGAGGAGGAGGAGGAGGAGGAGGAGGAGGAGGGGGAGGCGGATAGGTAGGAGGAGGAAGAGGAGGAAGGAGGGAGGAGGAGGAGTTGGAGGAGGAGGAGGAGGAGGACGAGGTGGAGGAGAAGGATAATCGAGGCTTATGGTAACGAGCGGCTTGGCCATTCTCTGAACGTCTGAAGATTTCCAGAAACCTCCAGAAACCTCCTGGGACCTCTTGAGACTTCAATTCTAGGCGTCGGGACAACATCACGACTGGCCCTGGGACATTACAGGTTCACCCGCTTCGAAAAGTGAGGAAGACCGGCAATGGTGCTCCAACTGTTATTTTCGGGACGCTGCGTTTTTGTTGCACGACGATGGATCTGGGGGGCAGTCGAGGATGCAACCTGCACACGAGGAACTAATAGGCACTGACCCCACCCCGGAGGCGCCGATGATCTCCTGGAGACGGCCTAATCCTCAGACCCTACTCCTTCTCCCTCCTCCTCTTCCTCCTCCTCCTCCTCCTCCTCGTCTTCCCTCCCACCTCCTCGTCTTCCCTCCCATCTCCTCCTCCTCCTCCTCCTCCTCCTCCTCCTCGTCTTCCCTCCCATCTCCTCCTCCCCCCCTCCTCCCCGCACTCGTCAGGCCTAGGAGGCAGGAGGGCCTCGAGGGCTCGAACGCCTGGGCCCTCCGGCACCGGCTCCGGCGCCGCGCCGCTTCCCTCCCTCGAGCTCCCTGGACGCCCCCCGCCTCGCCAGCAGACCGCTCCCCGCGCCCTGCGCCCCTGGGACGGACGGGCTTCGCTCTCCGGCCCGCGGCCGACCGAGGCCTCGCCCCCCCCCCACCCCCACCCTCGACGCTGCCACAACCGCTGGACCCTCGACCCCGCTGGACCCTCCGACCCCCCCTCTTGACCCCCCCCCGCCTCGCCCGGCCCCCCCCTTCCACCCTCGACCCCCTTCGACCCCCCCCCCTCCCCCCCATCGACCCTCGCCCCTCGGCCCTTCCCGACCAACCGGGCGCTCCTCCCCGCCGCCCCCGCGGCAAGGCCCGCGTGGCGGCACCGCCCGCGTGGCGGCACCGCCCGCGTGGCGGCACAGCCCTCGCGCGTCTCTCGGCGCCACGGGGAGCTCCACCGGAGGCAGGGTGCCCGCCGTGTCGGCGACCCCTCGAGGGCCCGGGGGGGCCAGCAGTGGTGCGGCGGCCTCGAGATCCCGAACGACCCTGCCGCACGGTCCGTCGCCGCACGGTTTGAGGCCCTGGAGGCCCCGATCGCCCGAGACGCCCTCGGAGAACGGCCCGAGTCCCCAAACTGTGCGGTCACCCGAAGCCCCACCGACTCACCCAACGGCGTGGTCACCGCACAGTCTTGGGACCTTCGAGAGGGAGGTCTTGAAGCCGATGGGCCCCGCCGTGGGGGGACGACCACACCTCGCCCAGCTGCGGCTGGGTAAGCAGGGGCTTTTATAAACCAGGGCGTTGTCGCCCCTGAGTAGACTGCAGCCGCGGGCCGAGACATCCTTCATTCCCCGCTTTCTCCCCGTGGATCTCGCACAGCCCAGGTTTGCAAGTAGAGAGCCAAACAATTACATATACCTGACCTTTCGAAGGTCCGCGCGTATTTCTTGGGTCTGCGCTGGAGGCGCCGCCAGGGGGTTCCAGCTCCGATCCAAGAAATTCGCGCGGACAGATGAAAACTCATGTTTATCCGTCGGCGTCGTCGTCGTCGTCGTCGTCGCCACCGCCAGCGGCGCCGTCATCGTCGCCGCCGTCGTCGCTGGCGTCGCCGCCACCGCCGTCGCCGTCGCCGCCGGCGTCGCCGTCGTCGCCGTCGTCGTGGCCGTCGTCGCCGGCGTCGCCGTCGTCGGCGTCGTCGTCGCAGCGGCGTCGTCGTCGTCGTCGTCGCCATCGTCTGCGGGCCGGGAGCGGCGGGTGGCCCACGGGCCCCTCCGCCCGCGCGCCCAGCGTGCTCAGCCGTCGGGGTCCCCGGGCGCGGTGGGCCAGCAGCTCCGGCAGAACCTCCCCGCCACCCCCGCTGGGGTGGGTCGACCGTCGTCGTCGTCGTCGTCGTCGTCGTCGTCGTCGTCGTCGTCGTCGTCGTCGTCGTCGTGGTCGTCGTCGTGCGTTGTCGTGCGTCGTCGCGCGTCGTCGTGCGTCGTCGTGCGTCGTCGTGCGTCGTCGTGCGTCGACCGTCGTCCGTCGTGCGTCGACCGTCGCCAGTGTCATCGTCGTGCGTTGACCGTCGTCCGTCGCCGCCGCTGCTGCCGCCGCCGTCGGCGCCGCCGCTTGCGCCGCTGGCCGAGGGCTTGGCCCCCGAGGGACAGCACGAAGAAAACCCAAGGCTCGCCCTGATTACATCTATACCGCCCAGCAACTCGGGGATAATCCGCCCGCCACCGCCGCCGCCGCTGCTCACAGAGGGCTGGGCCCCCGAGGAGAAGATCCAAGGCTCGCCCCATGCTGTCCAAAAGGCTCCGACGGCCTCCCGCACCGCGCACCACGGCTCCCCGCGCCGCGCACGACCCAGACCTCCGGCGACTCGATCTTTTCAAATCGCTGGTTCCTGGAACTGTCGACCCTTCCCCTTGCTGTTCCGGGGCCCAGGAACTACCTCTGGGCACCGGACACCGTGAAACACCTCCAGCTCGACTGTTCCCAGTCGCGCCAGGGTCTGGGTTGTCCTTGATGGGGCCAGAGGCGGCCTTCAACTTGGCTCTCCCATGGCACGTCTGGCCCAAAAGTGACCAGGTTGGCCATGGGCCTTGGTCGGGAACCAAACGTAATTACCATTCTCAAAATGACCGCGGGCTGCCCGAAAGGAACCGATCTCGCAGCTGGGGGGGGAACGTGCGAGGGGGAAGGGAGGCTCCTCTTCCCCCCTCCTCCCTTGTCCCTCCTCTTCCTCTTCCTCCCTCCCTTTCCTTCACCTCCCTCCTCCTCAACCTCCACCTTGTGCGGCTGCTATTCCTCCAAGCCCATTCCACCTGCTCATGAGCAACTCCCCCTCGCAACACACCAGATTTGTCGGTACAACGGGCCAGGCGTTTCGGACATGTGCAACGTATTCGCCTCTAGAAGGCAGCTCCATCTCAAGATTGTGTCATCTGTGCAGACTTTCTTGCGATCCATTGTCAACGTGGTGAAAATGTGCAAGACTTGCTTAGATGGATTTCGACACCCGAAATGGGTACCGAAAGAATGGGTACAATGCCCCAGAACAAATGTTGCCCCAAACCAACAGCGGCCGCTGTTGGGCGGGCGGCCTCCTGTCTCGAATGGACACAGGCCGCGGCGGCGCGGACAGCGAGTCCTGTTCAGAATGAACAAGAACTGCTGTTGGGCACCGTGCCCATTCTTTCCGTGCCCATTTCGGGCGTCCAGAATGGAGGGTGGACCGTTTTCAAAACGAAAACGTCACTGCGAACGTCCTTCATCCTTCCGGTCCGGCTTCTTGACTTTCTCCAAATCTAGATGCACGCGCAACAATTCCTCGTCCAAGCGGGGCCCTCGCCCGGAGGGCAGGCCCATGGTCCGATCGCCTTTCAAGGGTACGCTTCCGGCACCGAAGGGATGCTGGGGACTTGCGAAAAGGCGGTTTTGGGGAGGGATGGTGCCGGGGTTTGTATTGCAACATCAGTGGCGCATCCTTGTGGACCCTGGTCCTCCTCCTCCTCCTCGCCCCCCCCATCGGGTCCACGACGGATGCCCGTTGGTCCATCGCCAGGTCCTGCGCACCGCGCGCGCAACGTTCGCGCGGGCGCGGGGGTCAGGGGCGAGCGGAAGAGGGGCCTTGGCGGGATGAGGCGAAGGGGGAGGGGGAGGACGATGATCGAGGTGTCTGTGCCTCTGGTGACCTCCAGTGACCTCCAGAAAGGGAGGGTGGGAACGGAGGAGTGACCGAGGACTGACCAATCGGCACCCCGTGCCGTCCCTAGGCTCAATCCGAGCCTAACTCGGACTCCGCTCGCCGGGCCAACACAGTAGCCTCGGCGTCTTCACGCCTGAGCTGCGCCACGACCCTGTCGGACTGGAAATCCGCCGTTCCACGAGGGCGCTTGAATTAACAAGGCCCGCGGGGACAACTCCCACCGCGGAGTGCGAGGCTGCGGGCAGCCTATACGATGGGTGCATACCTTGCGCAATCCTGCGAAGGTTATCCTGCCCTTTCCTGCTGCGGATGGGCGGGCACACCTCGACAAGGTGACGTGGGTCCGTGGTCACAGTCTGCCTACAGCTATCAGAAACCAGCTGCCTCAACGACACCCCAGCCATCGTAGGGGAACTCCTAAATCCTGAATTTTGGACCCCCGGAATGGGTACGTAAAAAAAGGGTACAATGCCCAACGACAAATGTTGCCCCAAACCCACAGCGGCCGCTGTTGGGCGGGCGGCCTCCTGTCTCAAATGGACACAGGCCGCGGCGGCGCGGACAGCGAGCCCGGTTCAAAATGATCAGGAACTGCTATTGGGCATCGTACCCATTCTTTCCGTAACCATCTCGTTCGCGCCGAAGACTGAGACCCAGGACAAACACGGGAGCAGGCTGCAACTAGGAACGCAGAAGCGGCCGCCTCTACACACCTCGAACGCTGCCAACGGACTCCAACTTTCTCGAAAACGTGAGATGAAGTCGAGAACGCCCAGGCACGACGAGAGAGGCAGGGCTGAACCTAAACGGTGTCTTTCGTTTTCGTTTTGTGTTCGTTTTCCTTCGTTTTGTCTTCAATGCGCCTTTACCGCAAAACGAAGTCGAAACGAAAACGGCCCACGACATCGCAAAACCACAGTTTAGGTCCAACCCTGGAGAGAGGCAAAACCTCCTCTCGCTGGGAGAATCCACCCGCGTTTCCGAAAATGCACGGCAACCGTGTCCAGGAGAGCTCGGCGGATTCGCGTGCGCCCGATGCACGTTCCATCAGGGTCGACTCGGTCGATCGGCGGCGTGCTGGTCCAACCCGTTCGAAGCGGACTCCCATCCCCGAGCAGCGGCTTTGGCTGGCGGCTGTGTCCACTGCCCAACCCAAAGAACCCATCTATCAGGGCCCTGATCCTCCCAGGATTCTGCTTGACATGGCACGGGGCCCATTCGACGCATGGACTCCCGGAAATCAGCATTCTCTGCAAAGGGGGCAGGGTAGGCATAACGGCCACGAGACCGGGCGAAAAAACGTGGCGAGTGATCCGTGGCATCGATAAACTCACCTGGCGCCAGCTCTCGAGTGAGAAGCAAAGCTCGAAGTTCGACCCGAGGGACGGTCTGTCGACGACCCCGTAGAGCAATCGACGCCACTAAAGTAAGGCTCAATTCGTACTCGGGGCCACGGGGGAACCCGGCCCCCAGAGCCGTCCCCGAAGACAACGACGGGTCCACTCGAGGGCCCGCGGAAACACGACGGGCCCCGACGCATCTAAAGAAACCTTACGGCAGGACACGGGCCTTAAGAAAAGATGGCCGCTCGGCCTGTCGAGCTCGGGGATCCTGCGCCCGTCCGAGCTCGCGCCGCCAGCTGGCGGGCCGGTGCCCAGCTCTGCCGCTTGGTGTTGCGCCTCCACGATTTCACCGGGTGGCGACTGGCGAAAAGGGTCTCGAAGTGAATATATAGGAGACGCATCGCCTGCCAGGTGGTCGGCCGCGTCCTCGTGGTCCGCCCACTGGGGCCGACTGCCAGGGCAGCGCGCAGGTCTTGTCCCAGCACTGCGCAAGCTTTCGTCGTCTGCGGTGGCTTGATCTGGCGTCAGGGGCCAGAAAGGCGCGAAGCGGGCCTGCGCGACAAAGCGGCGCAAGGCGAGCTCGTCTTGTCCGTCGTGCTCCGGACTTCCTTCACTCTCGTCGTCGGAGACGTACATGCATGCCCCCCTCCGCTCTCACACAGATCGTCTGGTATACACACAGATCGGGAGGGCGGGAGGGGCTGCTTCGGGATCCCGGACCTCCCTTCATTATTGCACCTCTGCCCCAGCGCAGTGCTCGTCGTTATCCCCCTTTTCACACACACGCACACATTCACATTCACATTCGCATTCACATGCGCATGCACATTCGCATTCGCATTCACATTGAGACACACACACACACGCGCGAACGCACGCACGAATACGCACACGCACACGCACACGCAGACGCAGACGCAGACGCAGACGCAGACGCAGACGCAGACGCAGACGCAGACGCAGACGCACACGCACACACGCACACACGCACACACCCACACACCCACACACCCACA